TTTTTATTTTTCTTTAACTAAATGTGAACCATTATATCAAATAAATTTAATATATAATTAATTTAGAATAAGTTAGAATATTATATTAAACTAATTTAAATTTAATTATTATAATTATAGTTCAAAAATTAAGACTCAATTTAATTAATTCAAACAAAATAATCTTAACTATAAAAGTAATTTATTTGAACTCAATTCATTAACATAATCTTATGAGAAAAATATTAATTTCTCAATAAATAATAAGATAGAGAGTGATATATCTATATTTTTTTTAATGAGAACAACTATAATTTTGAATGTATTTTTTTATAATTTTTTTATTAAAATCTTATCTCAAGATTTACATTTACACTAAAGAAAAATATTATTTGAAGAGATATTTAATGGCTAGTATTAATTTATGCTCCCATTAAAAAAAATTTCTAGCTACGCCCCTAGCGTTATACATCAGCTCCTTGCATGCATGGCTAACGTGCATAACTGATAATATTACTCTAACAATTCAAGATCATTTAAACTCTAATTTTAACAAAATTGTAATCAAACTAATTGACGCAATGTCAAAAAATCAGTCAACATCATAAGTGCTCCAATCCAACCAAAAAACGAGTCCAAATCAAATGTTTGAAGCATAATTAAAAACATTGGTATATTAATTTGTTGATTGGATGATCTTAAAAGATCATATGTTTATAGCTAGTCAAATAGCATGTCTTAAAGAGAGATTAATCCAATAAGCCTAAAATCATCTAACTTTGACACCTATAAAGCACTTAAATGCTAAAAGAATTGTTGATAATTGAGATAATTGACATAAAGCATCCAATGGTGTGCATTAGATTTTAATTGTATGTATAGAGCATGTCACTCTAAAAAATATATAAATAATTCTTCACTCTCGATATGAAAGGGGGTCTTTATTTGAGATTCAAGATAACATAAGAGTTAAAGAATCTCGAAGCTCTATTGAACTATCACTCAATCACTACCATCAATTCACAACCTAATACAGTCAACAGACCATTGCCCAACTACGGTCCTCTGAATACCATCTTTTAATTACAGTCCTTCGACCACCATCACCAAACTATAATCTCATGACAATTGTAGCTCGACTATATTAATCGATCACTGTCACTCGAATATGGTCCTTCGATCACGGTTGCCCAAATTCAGTCCTTTGACCACTTTCATCCTACTTTGATCCTTTGACCACCTTCACCCAACTTTGCTTTTCCAATCACCACCACTCGACTACAATCCTCTAACCATCTTCTTCCGACAACAATTCTCTAACCACCTCTATCCGATTATAATCCTTCAACCATCATCGCTCAATCATTTACTTTTCAATCATCATCCTTCGACTATGATCCCCTAACCACTTTTACCCCAATACACTCTCCTGACATTATCACTAGACTACACCGATGCTCGCTAACTTTATTGCTCGCTTTTACCAATAGCATTAATGCACTCCATCATCTATGATGCCAATGTAAGCCATTGAAAACAACTCTAACTCTAACATCATTACCAAAGTTCATGCTAGACTATTAGTTATATGATCTCCCCTCCTCAAAGGAGAATGATCAAACATACAATAAGTGATCTATTAAAGACAATTATCATGCCATAGAGCTCCTCCAACTTCCACAATAAAATATGTTCTATACAATTAATGTCTACTATATTGTATCAACACCTTTTAAAAAATCATAAGGAAGGATATCATTTGTAACAAATGAAAACTATTAATGAAATTATTTCATCTGAGTCATGCATCTTTTTTTTTTTTTTTTTTGGATTTTCACATAAAAATGCTTCTATCTATCATATAATCCTTCTTTATTTATGTGTGTGTTGGATGTTCACACTATACAGAGATGCTTAGCTCCCTTTATTTCCATCTTTCCGAATCTTTTGACACGTACACGAATCTTTTGACATATATATAATAATAATAAAGAAACTTTACATTCTTATTGAACAAAGAGTCTAAGGTCCTACATACAAATCTTGGTCTTCTTTACATCAATAAGTCCCCACCTTATCACCTCTGTCTCTCCCAACCTATTTCTTTTAAGGTTGCATTTAATGGGAGGTTAGGAGATTTGGTGGCCACAATCATAACAATATCTAATCATTTTTTACATTTAAATCAAAATTTACATGCTCATCACATCAAATGACATCCTCTGTCTCCTTATCAAAGACTGGATAAAATGTTACAAACCCAATTGGCATAATTTTTTTCAAATGTTATTAGCATTTTTTTTTTCTATAAGCTATTTAAGCCAAATTGCTACTTATCATATGAAAATTAGAATATTATTTTGACATTCAATACCTTTTTATTTTCCCTAAAAGTCTCTAAAAAGTAGATGATATCATCAAAATAGAAGCACATATACTTCATATAGTTTTATGTTTTTTCCTTGCAACAAACAAATACTCTCCAAAAGAAAATGGTGAAATTGGCCCACCAGAAATAGCCTACAAGACACAAGAGAACAATCAACCTTGAGAAAAGCAAAGGAGGGAGGAATCTTCGGAGAAAACAAACAAAAGCAACTAAGCATGAAGAGAAGATTAACACTTCCTTTGGCACCCCTCTTTAAATAACTAATCAAACTACTTGTCCTCTTTCCTTTAGATATCAATATAAAATTTATTGAAGCTGTGGGGTTTAATTTTTATTATTTTATTAAAATATGTGGATTATTTTATCTTATTTTAATTTCTATTTTAATAGATAGCATCTATTTTCCAACAAAAATTCTCCCTCTCTAATGAAAGTATTAAGTTTAATCTTTTATTTAAAAATACTAATAATTGGCCCTTAGATATTTATACTACTAATCATTCATATATCACTAAGCAATGTTAATCCTTTTTTATCCTTAATCATCAACTGATAGACCAAAACAAGGAATTGATCAACAATCATATAGAATGATACATCTCCATCCCAATAAAAAGCAAAAAAAATTGAACCACTTCAAGCTCCGTTTGGGACGGTTTTTTTACTACTTCTTAAAGCAGCTTTCTACTACAAAATTTTTAATTTTTATACTAAAAATCTATTTTAAGAAGTAGGAAAAAAGCCGCACTAAACGAATCCTCAGTATAGCTCAAGAGAAACATTACTCTCACTCATACACTCTTCCTCTCCATCTTCTATGAACCACATCTTTACCACCAGAGCTAGCTCTCAACTCTCTTTGATGAAAGAATTCTTCGAATTTATTCTCCATTGTTGGACGAATCTCAAACTGATCTGAATCTCTTCTTAGCCCCCGAGTCGCCATCGTCGGAATCCATGGACTTGGTAAAGGAGGAAGAGAGGTCGGCGTAGAGGTCGACGACTCGACGAATGTTGTTGTTGAGCTCCTTTATGAGGCCTACATTGCGGTTAAGATTGTCTGGAATCTTAGACTCATGATTTTGATTTATCTCATGTATGATGACTCGGTTCTGATCCAGTATGCTCTGAACCTGAACAAAGCTTTTCTGAAATGTTTGCACAACTTTGTTCTCCATCTGTGCTGTGTCTCCAGCTTCCATTTCTTTGGTTGCAGATACAAAGCAAGATATGGCTGAATATGCTATAAAGATGGGACCTTTAGATGAACGACATTCTCATCGTATCATAATCAAATTACTGCAAATGAACCAGAAATCAACTAATTTAGAGGTTTCATTTCATTAGTAGATGTAAAAATGTGTTTTTTTTTTTTCCTAATTGACTTGACTTAATAAGCATCTTAAGGCATGCGTTATATCATATTTAATTATGATAATCAGTAGATTGAGGGACATCAAGATTTAGCAAAACAAAAGAGAATCTACTGTAATTCGTGATGGGGCATTAGAGACAAAGAGAAGGGAGAGTTGCAGGAATCAATGTTTTCCTCTTTTTGATCGAGGACAGTTAACAGATAGTTTATGTGCATGATAAGACATAAAGCTGATTATGCTTTTTTCATTAAAATCAATGCAATTTTATTTTATTTTTCTCATGAAGCCATCAAAATAAGTTGTTTAATGAATAGAAATTAAAAAGTGATTACCTACCTGTAAAAGGAAACAACTTTATATGGTTTTCAGAGAAGACGAATAAGAAATTACAAAGACAACGGCACTATGGCGACTGAATATCTTGCAGACGACTGGTTGAAATGGGGAAAAAGAGAGTAGAGTTTCTTGTAAGGAACTCTTCAAGAATGATAAAACAAACAAAAAATCATAACTTGTCGCGAAATTCTTGATAATCTTCAGAAATATTAAGTATTCATTTCGAGAAAAGATTGAAAGAAAGAGTATGGTTCCTCCTAGCTGACTTCTTTCTCAAAGAAAAAAAAAATTTAATATAAAAAGAAAATCTTGAAAAAGGAATTAGAAAACCAAATCTATTGCTCTCTCCCTTTTTTTTTCTCTCGAGCTTACCTTCAAACTCTGAAGACTTTTCTCCTGCGTCAACCAAAGAGAGAGACACAGACGCAGAGAGAGAGAAAGAGAAAGAGAGAGAGGATGAAAATGAAATCTTTATTCTGAAGTGGGGGGAGGGGGATGTCTTGTTTCCCCCGGTTAATCGAATCTGGAAGAAAAGTTACCAATGGGATTTCAGACCTCTGAAACGGAGAAGAAAAAAAAATATTTATTCGGTATGAGGGACGGAGGAGACAATACTCAGAAGGGGAGGTTTGATTGTTAGGTAGTGGGTAAGGTCACCTCCCTCGAGCTGAAGAGTTCTGCACCCATTTATATTAAGTAGTAGTTTGATTTGCTGACATAATTTATCTAATAAACATAAATTTTATGCTTGAACGCAACCGCCTATCATAATGAAAGAGACCAATAGGAAAACTTGTCCATTAGTGAAATCCTTTTGCAGCAAAGAAGCAAGCCTTGAATTTGTTCATATAACCATTACAGTGACACTTAGTAAAATTCAATTGCAATTAATACTATTTTGAGTAGGATGAGATTGACCCAACTTGTATGTATCATTCGAGCAAGTGCATCATATTTTTATATATTTCCTAACACTACTTTAAGTCGTAAATAGGTTGATTTTTTTTCCTTTTTTTTTCTTTTTTTTTTTTTTTGCTTTGATGTGAGCATTGAGTGGTAGGAAGAATGGATGAATTGAGGTTTATATAGGTGTTTTTCTCTAGGGAAGGTTTTGATGTGGGTTGGGTGTAACAAGTTAAGATAGATTAATTGAAGAGTAGTGGAGGGGGTAGCGCATGACGGTGGACACAGAGATTACAAAATGAATGTAATTATTAGTTTTTTAACAAACATATTGTTAGATGGAAAAGTGAAAAACTAGTATAATCCATTCAAACATGGTGGGTTGATAACTAAAACAAGCTAAACTCTTTAACATTGATATGCCTTTTGATATAATTATTGAAATTTTATTAAGAAACTTTACATATAAGTGTGCTCATCCTGGGAAAATCCTAGGATGAGTGACCTCCTAAAAAGTTACACCAATATGATAATTTGTGTGACCCTTAGACCAAACCATACATTATGTTAAATGTTCATAAGGAAAGGAAATAATGAGAGCGGATCTAGGTATTGACCTAATTTTTGAAGTTAAATTTAGCTTGTACATGTCCTTTTTTGACTCAGTTTGATCGTCCTCTTAGAATTTAGGTTGCATGTTACCTATTAGTAATCGTTTTAGGCACCTTATTATGGATTATGTAGCCCACTAGTAGGTGGACCCTAATGAAATTCCTTAATCAAGTTGAAATAAAAAAATCAAATACTCAAATTGATCGTTCGTTGGAAAGAGAAAGTTAACCAACTTACTTGATCAATCGAGCCTAAATCCTAGATTTGACTCAATCTAGCCTATAATCTAAGTTAGGTAGTACATTTATATATGAAAACTTAATCTAACATAGCTTAGCTCTAAGAGACCACATATCTACCCTTAATCTAATATTAGTATAATTAAGTGTGTTATAAGCCTCACTATATGTGATAACACAAAAAATATGAAATATATTAAAAAAAGAATTTCTATTTGAATTGTTGTATAGCGGCGCTATACCTTTGAGCATCGAGGCGCTGGGATCTAGAGCTCAGTGATGCAAAGAAGGGCCTCTGTAGAGTTTGAGTCTCTATTCTATAGTAATTTTGGATTTTACATGCATGCAACGTTGCGGTGCTGAGTCTAAGCCCTGTGACGCTAGGCAACTAACAATTTATATATGTATATATATATAGTCATCCACCCCTCACCCACGGTCGGCTTGCCTAAGAAGGAGATGGGAGAGGGGAAGGGAAAAGAGGAGAGAGAGAAAGAAAATTTTAATTTTCACTGCCTGATCGCTTCATGCTTTTATAAAAACTATTCCAATCGAGGTGACTCTAAACCTATCTCAATTTTCAAATATTTTGATTTTGACTGTTGGATTCTTCCCAATGTTGATTTTATTGCATTTAATTTTATTAAACTTCATCAGCATAACTTTTTATATGTTATTGTATTGAATATTCTTAACTTTTTTAATGTAATATTTTTGAATTTCACTGATATAACAAAAGATATTGGATTTTGTACAAATTTTCTTAAATATAAATTGATAGTTTATTACAAGCATGTTGCTAAAATATGCATTGTGACTGAATATTGTGTGTGTGATTGAGTAACAGTTAGTCATTTTTGCTGCTATAATAATGTGAAAATAATGTGTGTGAGAATAAGTAAGGACTAATTATTCATTGATGTTGGTTGGAGGCTGATTGACCTATACAGGATGGTGGGTGACAGGCCTTACTTTAAATACTGTGATTTGCTATTATCCTCTACTGATTCACGTGATTCACTAATTGAGAGTTATAAGGGGATGATTATTATGCCAATGGGTAGAGAGTGACAATTATATTTACTAAACCAGCAGGTACTGATTATTGATATCGATACTAATATTGGAAAAACACAGCTTTAACTAAGGCTTCGTTTGGGACGGCTTTTTTACTGCTTTCTAAAACGGAGTTTTAGTACAAAATTATTTTATTTTTGTACTAAAACTCTGTTTTAGAAAGTAGTAAAAAAGCCGTCCCAAATGAAACCTAAGACTTTTACTTTTTTAGTGTAATTACTGAAATACATACTACTAATTCACTATTACTATAAAATCTTACTATTAATATATAATGTACTGTTATCACTATTGTTGTTGTTATTATTAATATTACAAATTTGCTGTTATTATTATTGTATTTCTCTAATGTTACTCTCACCAACAATACTATTATTGAATTATTGATGATTTCTATAATGATTTATTGATATTATTACTGGTTACTGATAGAATATCATCAATTATTAGATATATTGACCTTGTGATTATGGTTTCAACAATCTTTATCGAGGCTTTGGTTATTATGATTTACATGATTGCCTTATTGCTTAAATAGTACTACTATGATGATAATTTAATCATACTAATTTAATGGTTCCCAAACTGTACTACTTTATTGGCCTTTGTACCATACCTTTTTTTCTTATCTATAGATATTATTATTACTGCGCGTGAGTTTTACTATTTATGCACTGATTCATATTCATTAATTCTCACTAATATGAATTGACTGATGACATGCATATTATTTGTCTATCATGGTTCAAATTCAGTTCGTTATAGGATTTAGTGGCCTACTAGGCTATTGAGCTCATTATATATGATTTAAATAATTTCATGTCATGGCAAAGGACTTGGAGGGAGAGATTGATCAAGATTCTTCATGTTCAATTTTTTTTAGTTATTCTTTTGTACTCATGATTTGGATAGACATGATATGATTATGTGATTCTTGAGTTGTGTATATGATTTTTCATGTATTAAATACAAATATATATATTGATGTTTTGATCACTAGTGGTACTTTCGCTAATATTTTTACTGATAAAAAAGGAATAGCTCTAGTGGTTATTAATTAAAATATAAAAAATATATATTTTTTAAAATTAGATTCTAGGACGTTACACTATATTAATCAAATACAAAATGAAGTTATTTTAGGTTAGCTTATGTCTAACTTAAGAATTGAACCTTAAACATAAGCCTCAATGGACTTTACTTGCCTATAAAATTCACCCCAAAAAAACTTGAGCCATTAATTTTAACTATCCTAGCTTGCTAAAATAGGTTGACCTTCCTCCTTCATGGACTCAATTGGCAAATAAAATCCTAATTAGCCCAATTAAACATTCTAATGAATTCATATAAACTTCTTAGACCTCTCATGATCATCCAAACTACTCAATCATATGGTTGTACATGATTTTGGCTAGCTTGAGACCCTATGGATCCATGAATTCTTCAATTATGTCATGTGTCTTCCATCAATCATGTAAAGAGAAAATAATGCTCGTAAACATCAATCTTTAGGAAGATTATTGTAAGGTAGGTTTTGCTTGAGAAGATTATGATGCATGGTATAGGTCTTACTAAAGGTGATTATAAATTGTATGTCTTATTCAAGATGGCTATAGTGAAGCTCTTCGAAGATAGATTGATAACACACAAGTAAATATTATAACATAGGTCTTAATGTGGTGGTTGATATAATGCAAACGAGGTTATGTCACAGGTTTTAAAGTAATGATAATTACTACATATACAAAAGTTATCATGCAGTTAATCTTAAAGGTGATACTTTTGGTGCAATCAAAGATTATAAGATAAGGGCTAATACATAAATAACTATTAGACAAGATGATATTATAATTTAAGTCTTATTACTAGGATAATTATGACATAAACAAATGTTGTGATTGGTCTAAATGTGACAACAATTAAGCCATAAATAAATATTGGTTCATATGTCTTCATGTAATAATGATTGCAAAGTTATGATGCAAATCTTTTTGCAAAATGGTTGAAAATTAACCAAAGGTCGTATGATATATATTGATGCATTGATAAAAGTGACATAAATAAAGGTCATATTTTTATCTAGCTTATGATTCTTTTGATGCAATCAAATTATTATGCAATTCTTTATGCTTCGATGATATCTTATAAGAAGTCTTGAGAGAATTAGGGTGATCATTCAAACTTGAACAATCTCTCACATTGAATTAAATGAGCTAGAGACTATTTATAATGATCAAAAAGGGAATTCTACTTCTTTCATAAAATATTTCTCATGGTTATTAACAATGATTGATTCATCCTCCCAACAAAGTGTGATTCGACAATGCTTTCATTAGACTAATCTGGTTGACCTTCTTGTATTAGGGTAACATGAGCATCAAATGGTGGTCCGCTAGAAATTGCCACCAATCATTTCTCTGATTATTTATTAAATTATTTGACATCATAAACCTCGATGTTATGAGTGCATCATTGAGAACAAATTGAAGTTTTAATGATAATATTAGTGAAAATAATTCAAAAAAGATACATCTACTTTGCTTTGGGGTCATCATATATCAATAAAGAAATTTTCATTTTTATATAGATATGTCATATTCAAGAAAAATAGTTAAGGATTTAAAAGTCTATAAAGGTCAAAATGACTCAAAAAAACAATTTTTATGGCAATTTATAAAATAATAAGCATACATTGGAATGATCAGAGGCCAATAACATAGAGCCTACCAAGTCAAATTTAGGGAGACTAATGAGAATAGCCACATGGCAACTTCTACCAACAAAGAACCTCTGTCATTATCGATCTCCTCTACCTAGCCAAACACAATTGAGGAAGGCCTCAACCAACTAGACATCATATTATGCTCAATTTGATTGATATCTAAAAAAGCATACTTAAAAAAAGTTGAACATCAATTTAATTCTTATGTCTTATATTGAGATACATACTTTATGATAAATTTTATGATAGACCAAATAAGAATTTTTAAGATTTCAACAATAGCCAAATAATCTTGTCTACTTCTATTCTATTATTTCCTTTTGGATCGATGTAGACTTTAATTAGTTTATCTTTGACCAACCCATACTGCAATGATGTTGTCCATCTGGAGAAATTATTCTGTGTGGACACCGGATCGTCCGGAGACGAATTATAGCGCGTCATGTCACCCAGTACACAGCAAAAAATTGACGTGACACGCTCTCATTCATCTCCAAATTTCATCAAGTGTCCTCACAGAATAATCAATCATCCATCTAAATCCTGACTAATTAGTGGTTCATCAGCTTCTCATATAAATAAAATCTGAATTAAATTTAATACAATCCATAAGAAGGATTCAATTGAATATGAAAATCAATAAACAATATTAAATTTGACATTTTCTACTTTAGCATGTAGAGAATGATTATTATTGGTTGTTTGTAAACAACATAGTATTTGAAGAGTGTAAACTTTCCATCAACTTTTTCATCCGGACTTGGAACAGCGTAAACAATTTTAAAGCATAGCCAAAAAATAAACAAACACTAGCCATAATAATCTGTCCAAATTTACAAATCATTTGTAAATCAGATAAATATCAATTGTGATATATTAAAATTTAAAAACAAAGTTATTATTCAATTTTTTCTGAGATTTTGCATTTATTTTTAACTTCTATAATATTTATTTGTTTATAAAATATATGATATTAATAACCAAATTGATTTGATTTTGAAATTAACATAAACAAAGTGAAATAAGCTCTACTTTACCATCTACTACTATTTGCTACACTTTGCTACACTTTTTAATATTTTTTATAGATTGGTATGCAATGACCAGGATATTTTCTGGTTCACCGTCATGCGGTTGATTGGAGTGTTGGATCTATATGTAGGCTTCAATATAGAATGTTTTACTAATCGATAGCCATAACGTACATTAGTTTTCATGCAAGCTAAGAAGTCCCTACGATTACCTACCCCATATGTCGAGTTTTTTTTTTTTTTTAATAATCCTTTATTAGACACTGCATTTTTTTATTGATTGCCAAAACTCTTTATTCATTAGAAAATTTATAATTAGGTCCTTTTTGAAATTTGTAGGAAAGTATATTGAAACCTATCACCTTTAGCACTGACTTAGACAAACCCAGATCCCATGGTCTATCTTCTATGAGCTGAACATTTCCAGCCAAGTTTCTTGAAGATTGGAAATTATGTGGTGTCTTTTTTTGCATAACAGGTACAAAGTTTGAAGTTTGATGTTGTCAATAAGAAGTATTTTTTATTATTTCTATCACTTTATTGTAATTTGGTTGCTTGTATCCATTTGGTTGATTGAAATTAAAAAATAAAAATATTTGTTGAATCCATAATTTGATTGAATATATATATATATATATATATTAGTATTGATTTTAAATTGCACAAATCTCCTCAAAATTCCCTAAAAAATTTAACTTTTTTTTTTGTTTTACATTTGAAATGAGTGACAATAAATTATTATTTTTTAAAAATATGTTTTCTATCTGTAAAGTGTAAATAATCAAATGAAGCCTTAGTAAGCCTCCTCTCTCTCTCTCTCTCTCTCTCTCTATATATATATATATATATATATACTTTTGGCTTCATTTGGAATGACTTTCTTACTGTTTTTTAAAGCAATTTTTTAATACAAAAATTAAAATTTTTATACTAAAAAGTTGCTTTAAGAAGTAGTAAGAAAGTCATCCCAAATGAAACCTTTGTTTTAGTACTGTTGCAGTCTAGAATATACGTTGCGATAGAATTAGTAAATTTCCGTCTTAGCGATGTACGGATATCTAGCACACAAACAGAGGAGAAATAATAACACTAAGATTTTTACGTGGAAAACCCTAGAAAGGAAAAAAACTACGGGGCCACGTTCAGTTGAAATAATTTCACTAGTATTTGTTTGAAGTACAAGAGGCTGATTCGTTCTTAAAATTTAGGACGATCAGATTACAATGCTTCACTTCCGGATTGAAATCCAATTACAATGTCGAGCAGAGTTCTGGCTTCACTTGGAGATCGAGTAGAAATCTTGCGTCCTTCGGAAGTCGGGCATAATTCAGGTGTCATTCGGAAGTTGGGCAGAATTCCGGCGTAAGTCAGAAGTTGGGTAGAATTCCGGCGACAGGCAGAACTCTGGCAGTAGTCGAGGAGGAATTGTTCCCTCATATCCTTCTCTTCTTCTTGCTTGGGTCCCCTCTCATGAGAAATGAGAGGTCTATATATAGATATTATGGAGTGAAATAGCTTGTAAATAGGTGTGAGATCAGGGGTAAATAGGGAGTGGTCGAATGGACGGTCGATATTGAATCCCTTGATTGTGCACCGTTCGTCAGGCATTTGAAGGTTTTAATGATGTCGGAATTCGGCGATCTTGGGCTCGTTGGATTTGTCCCGTCGAGCCGCTCGATTCGACTATAAGAACGTTATATTTGGAAACTATTTGGTAACTCAAATTATGGTTTGAACTTTCCAACAGCACGCTTGATTTGGACTCATTTGGACTCGGATTGAGTCGAATTTGGTGTTGTTGAGTTTGTATTTTCGAGACGCTCAGTTTGACAATAAGTTCGCTGAAATCGGAGTTTAGGTGATCCCAGATTTAATTTTTGAAGTTTCCAGCTTGATTTTGCCTCGAGATTTGTGCCTGAACAAGATTTTTTTTTTTTTGGAAAATCAAGATTATTTTTTGAGGACATATCAAGTACCAAACTAAACAACTACTTTATTGTGACGTCCTCGCTGCTTTCTATAACTCTTGTGGTGATAAATTGAATTTTGCAAACAGATCTGTTTATGTGGGAGTTGTTAGTACTCGGACTTTCTCAAAAAGAATATTTGTACAATATCCACAACAATTTTTAAAAAATTACACTGAATGCCATCAATCAGAAAAAATTCATTTAAGTCTCACTCAAATCATAAATATCTTTATCTTATGAAAAACCAAATATCAAATCATTTAAGGCCTCGTATGGAACGGCTTTTTCACTGCTTCTTAAAACAGCTTTTTAATTTATGTACTGAAAAACTGTTTTAAGAAGCAATAATAAAAGCGATCTCAAACAAAATCTAAAAATTCAAAAATTCACAAGCATTAAATGCAAATTGAATACTCAACATAATATGAACTATAACATGAGTTAAATGTTCATAATCTGGCTACATCAAATAAAGTAAAAACATTATAGATTTTCCAAACATGAAGAAGAGAAAAAAAGAAAACTATTTTTTTTTTCTCAGTATATATATATATATATATATCCTCTTTCATTATTTTATTTCGAGACATCAATAGAATATAAAACATCAAAGGTATCAATGGATTATACCTCCACAAAATTCCTCTAAAAATTCAAAATTTTAGGCATTTCTACAAATTTGTTCAATCGATAATCCATTGATTTTTTTCAATGATGTTGCTCGCAAATATATTTTGGCATCTGATCCACCTGCTCTATCATTTAATAGATTTGATCAGAAAGGTTTGTTAAATGAATAGCACATATATGCAGGTGTATGGCTTGGCAGTTTGGAGGAACCTTCTTGCTGCTCACCTACTGTGCGCACCTCAGTTTGTACATTCCAGTTTCATATTTGGTGAGGAATGCCATTAGATTTTGACTTTGTTTGTGACGACATTCTTATTGCTTTGTAAAGCTGCTTTTTAGTATAAAAATCACTTGAAAGCAGAGAAAAAATAGTTGTCTAAAGCTGTCACAAATGAAGCCTTTGTAGCTCATCTATCGAATCAGCTGCCAAACCTGCTTTGAAGCATAAATCATTGATGAGGGAGGATAACAAAACATATTGTAGTGACACTAGAGCCGGGGAAGTATTGAGCTTTGGCTTGATTTTATGAGCTCAAGTCAGCTCAAAAGCTGGTTTATTTATTATAAAAGAAAGATCATTCTAATTCAAATATTTATTATGATAATATTGTTAAAAAAGAAATTAAATGAGAATAATTATAAATAAAAAAAAATAAAGAATAGAGATAAATTTTAACAACTTCATAATAATTTTTTTGAATTTTTATATATTTTAAGTGTATTGTATATTAACATTTCCTTAAAAAGTTGACTCAAGAGTTGATGAGTCGAGTTAGGGCTAGTTCAAGCCTAGCTTGTTAGCTCACAAACTATTTATTGAGTCGAATCCAAGACGTTTCACGAGTTGGCATGACTCAATTTTACGCCAACCTACCCTAAAGTGTTTAAAGATCAATTGTGAATAGACTCCCCACATCTATAGGCACATTGCCCAAATAGTTACGTAGGAGAGAAGCTTTCTCCATCTAACATAATGTCACAAACTTATCTTAAATGTTCAATCAAGTGGCAAAGAAACTAATGGCATTGTTATCAAAAGCTTCTATTATGTACAAAGTATAACAAAGAATGAAATGATATTCTCAAAATCCAAGTTCTTAGCAATGTACTTTGAATAATCATCATTATAAATGTTAGGAAGTTAACAAAATAGTTAAGTTGATGGTCTTCTGATCAAATGGAACCGAACCCATTTTCTTCTAATAAATGCTTTCAATTCCTAGAGTAAGCAATATAAACCATTATAGCTTGTGATTGTTTTGTGAATTCATCACAATTTCTGTAGGGGATTACTGAGGCAATACTTCCTTCTAGGTTAAGGAATATTCTTTATTGAACACAATTTGGGATGAACTAACAAACAATTTGCAAGAATCAAATGACTGTGAAGAGGATGAAGAGTATCTTTGTCATTTGGTGCCATAAAATTTTAGATTCTCAATGTTCAAACTAACTTAAATCAATTAACTTTTCCCCAAAGCTTGATTTTAAAATAGTACAACGTCCACTTTTCACTTCTCAACAATCAACGCTTGAAAAATGAGCCAGCTAGATGAGCAAATTACCGTTCTACATTTGTATCGGTCTTTAAGGCATTGGAACAAACATCATGCATGCACAACGAAGGTTCTTAATATTCAAGATGCAACCTTCCCACTTTGCCAAAGCCAAACTATGAAGACCATTCAGATTCACGATGAGTTTAACATAAAAACTAAAAAAAGAGAGAGAGAGAATTACTTACTTTCCATTGCTTGTAGAAGAACAAAGATAAGCATTTGAACTTCCTAAGATTATATTGTTGAAATTTTTAGAGCACGAAAGGACAAGACAGATTAGAGACGAGGGTAGAAGGTATGAAGAACAAGCGAAAGCAAACTACCCATGAGCCCCTAGGCGTCGCTCCTTCAGGTAACACATCTGCAGCAGACGAAAATGGTACCAAGATGGCTTAATCATGGCATATAAGCATCATTAATTCAAGAAAAATGATCTGGAGAAGGCTACGTCAGACTCCTAAATGCCATTGTGCAGTGCGAAGGAGCTTAGCATTCGTTCTTCATGACTAAAGCAGCATGATTTATGTGCCTAAGTAATACAGAACTAAATAAATTGGCCATCCGAGATTGTTAACTTATTAAGTACCAAAATTAAGTTAACTAATAATTTCTTATCGATTAATAATAACTAGATTGAAAATAGAATTTAATCCTAATTAAAAAATCTAGAAAGTAAATCAATGTTAAAAATCAAGTGAAGAAAGTCCTTAAAGTATTAAGCACAATAAATTCATGACTTTGCATAAGTATCATAAATATCACTATCTTATTAAAATCTCATGTTAAATTAATCATTTATTATTTAATTATCAAAATTTTATCTCAAATTAAATACTAAATCATGTGAAAGTTGATTAGAAATTCCTAAGTATTAAGGATAAAATGAATACTCAACATATTGTTTATTAGAACTTTAATTAAATTTAAATAGTCATAATATTGCTATGTTATCTTTCTAAAAAAAAAGAAATCAAGAACAACATTAAATAAAATTAAAACAACACAAAAAATCTAAAATTTGAAGAAGAATAATAAGAACTTTCTTTTCCTCTAGTTTATTCTCAAATCCAAAAAAGTTCTCCCTCTAAAATATTTTCTTATGTTTCTTTCAAAGTTATTCATAGGAACAAGACTTAGTATCTAAAAGTTGATTTTTTTAAGTTTGTAGTCAAAACACGATGCCTAGGTGTAGGTCAAATTCATGCACATTGAATTTTATATTTCAGCATGTCAGTCCGCTACTTCTGACCTTCTATGAAGCTTCAACTTTTTGAATCCATGTATTGATCTCTAAAGTTTCTAATAAGAGCGATATCAATAAGTTTCAAGTATAATCGGAGTTATTGTATTAAAAAGGGGCCCGCATCAATGCCAATTTAAGAGATCATGTCTAGGGAAGTTCTTAGAATGTGGATAAAGTTATGTCCACTTTATCTAAAGCTGAATGATCAACAAATCTATCAATCCAAATAGTGGTCAGTCTAAAGTCAACCTCCATCAAGTTTTGGTCAATTCAATGAACGCTGAAGTTCATCAATGAATAATGAATAATGTCTAATTGAATAATCCATAAAATATAGGATTAACAAGTCATTGTTAAGTATTAATGGGTCTTTTTTAAAATCGTTAGTAAGTCATTGTAAAATGTTAACAATGTGACACTAAGATCTCTAATTAATCTGTCTCTAAAAACTACAAAAACATTTGAAATAAAATATATGCTATCACAAGCTCTTGTAAAGTCTTAATAATGACCCACTAACCCTTGGCATGCATACGTAAAGCCTTATGGATATATGTTAATATATCATGTTAGCTAGATGAGATATAGTAATAGTATATTGCTAAGGAGGGGGTTCACCCCTCCCCTCTAAAAATATTAGTTGAATAGACACTTTTAAGGGTTCCCCATCTAGAAGGCACCCACCTACCAATTTTTATGTATTTTATGTTATGCACTTTTTTATTTTTTTGTTTTTTTTAGGTACTTATATTACATTAGGTGCTTAATTATCTACATAAAAATATCTTATTGAAGAATATTTATCAACATGAAAATAAAGCTCTTTATGAAAATATAAAATGTTCGACCAAAATTTCCTTGGTGTGAGGTCAAACATTGACAAATTGAGGCCAACCACCATCCCGTGATAGATTTATATGTGTGAGTGGAGGCATGAAATATTTCTATGATTAGACAAGACAAATTCTAAGGAATATGTTTATAATTCACATAAGGCATAATTATTTGATTAGTGGACTTTGTCCTCCCAAAGAATTCTTTAATCATCATTAAAAATTAAAAAAAAAGGCTAATCATAAATTATTATTACTCAACTTATTATGAAATTGTTTCTAATTGACTTATAATGTAGTTGTCGCTAATTGTTGTGTTATAGTACCATCTCTCTTGACTTTATCTTGGATTCATTATAAGCTCAATTTCTATCTCACTTAGCATGCTAACTTAGCTCAATGGTTAAAGAATTAAACTCAACTCAATAACATGACAACGAAAAATGTACTGAGACATGATATGAATTTAAAAAGACATACAAAGTATGTATATATATTCCATTGATTAAAAATATAGTAAGTTCAAAACTTTTCTCAAAAAATATTAAAAATACAAAAGAAAATGAAGATGCTAAAAGTGTAGCAAGCTACATTCCTCAATCATCGTTGTACCTAGCCTTCGGTTATTCATCATCAGTGAGGAAAAAGTAAAATTTCTTCAAAACTCTAAATATTTTCTCTAGGCATTTTAACTGAACAGACTTTTTGAAACAAATTTGTACCCCCTTCTCATATCCGTTAGTCCAAAAATCAAAGTACTCTAAGGTTCAGGCAAATACACCTAATATCTCTTCAATAGAAGCCAAGTGAGTTCTCTCCTACTTGACATTTCTCTCATAAGACTTGAAGATCTATGTCAAGTTAATCAACATATATAAAATAATACAAAAAAAAAAACTTTGATGTTTCTGTTCATCCAATCTATCCCAATTTGGTTACTATAACAAGTCATGAAATTATTTAGATTAAAACATGCAGCAAAATCAACTAGAATATTGACCATTTAGCCCATATACATACATCTATAATTTCACCTCTTGCAATGTATGTGTTACCTTGGTCTTAAACTTTTGTTATTAATCTCAATTAATTCATGCCTATACCTTTTATATAATAACAATAAATCAAATCTTATTTTAATATTGGTTATTATTTTAGCAACATTTGCATTCATCATTGGAATGAAATCCCTTGATTTTATAGGAAGCACAATATGATAAAGAGAGCCTTTTGCGGAGTTGCCATATTCTCTAATTCATACATATTATGCAATTGATTCTATATATGGCACAATTTCTAGCAACATAAAAAATAGATAAAATAATTCTTCACCAAAGAGTTGGAAGGCCAAATGATCCAATTCAATAAATTATTTTTATAATGTATCTTTTTGTTTTCAATAGTATGATAACACATGGGTATAAAATATTCGTACAATAAAAAACTTATCTTATCATCATGCTCTAATATGGATGTTTTACTCAGTACCATACAATCTAAGCGTGCTAATTTCCTATGATTATTCCATCTTGATATACAAAGTAAGCTAAAAAAATCACTAATTAGCCGCATAATAATAGCATTTGTTTAAAAGTTTATTTTATATGTTTGTCATATATAGAAACTCCTTCATTCAATAGCCTTTTTATATCATTTGTTATCAATCATATAAAAACATCTAAGTTATTGGAGTTTTTAATTAATGAATGATTAATGATTAAAAGATAAAACAAATTTTCATTTACGTACATGTTGTTAAGTTGTATATAATAATAAGTACTAGCCAATATATGTTCAAAGCGATCGACCAGCAAAAAATATTGAATTTATCAAGAAATATCTTGAGGAAGATATTACACATACAATTCTAAAGAATATGACAGATAAGTACAATTAAAGTGCTCCTACGCTATACAAACAAAATGATATGCGAACACCATTTAGGGGGCTTGCTTTTAACGTATCAAATTATATTCTTTATAGTCTTCTTTGATATGCAGGGACGAAACTAGCCTCACTTTTGAGAGTGAGCTAAAATATATATATATATATAATATTGGAATTTCTTGTTGAGGAGTAAGAAGCTTGTTAAGCTTCTTGGAAAAGAGTGAGCTAAGGAAGGAAGAGAGAGAGGGATAACAGATTTTTAGGAGGAAAACATTCTAAAGCTTTATTCATTTTTCCCTATCAATACATCAACTTATAGCATCTATATATAGGCTATGACAACTGTGTGATGTCTTGCATAATAACTATACTTAAAACTGGACAAAACCTAACAACCTTGGTCCAATTTTACACAGTTAAGAAAAACCGCCGGAAAGAACGATACAACGAATTGTATCGGATGTATCGACGTCTTCCTTACGCCGGCAACTACCGGCGCATTTTCCGACGCCATTTCCGACGCTTCTTTCCGGCGCCAATTTTGCGCCGCAAACAAAGCCATGGGTTGTCTACGGCGACCTTAGGGCGTTTTGTCCGCCGGTACTTACCGGCGGACAATCTGACAGAAACTTACAGGCGCATATGGTGCCAGAATTTATCGGTTGTAAGTCGTCGGCACCAATTCGATGTTTTATCAACGGCGGTTTAGACCGCCACTAAACCGCCGGTGAATATTTGAAGCCGGAGGTTTGCCGACTGTTTTTTGATCGCCGTTAATACCGGCGGTTTTATGTATAAAAAACACCGGCAAACCGCCATTAACAGACGGCGGTTTAACCGCCGGCTAAACCACCGGTAACACCGGCGGTCCATTAACCGCCGGTTGGAACCGCCGGTAATAGCTATTTTTCCTGTAGTGTGACCAAACCATCTAAGATGTCTCTCTCTAGTCTTATCTTCCACTGGAGCTACTCCAACCTTTTCATGTATATGCTCATTTCGTATCCTATTTTTGAGAGTAAAGACACTAATCCACCTAAGCATCATCATTTATGTAACATTTAACTTAATATTATACTTCTCTTTTAATGATCAACATTCTACACCATAAAGCATTGCAGATCTCACAACCATAACCCTTAAGTTTAAGAGGGACTTTTTTATCACACAATAAACCCAATGCATTCATCCACTTCAACCATCCTACTTGAATTCTACTAATAATATCCCCATCTATTTTACCATCACTCTGAACAATAAACCCAATATATCTTAAACGAGAGCTCTTATTAATGACTTAATCGCTCAAAGTCACAATCCCATCACTAGATCTATTATTACTAAAATTACACTCTATATTCAGTTTTAGATCTACTTAAACGAAAGCCTTTGGACTCTAAGGTTGACCTCCATTATTCAAGTTTACCTTCAACTCCCTCTCTAGTCTTATCAACATGAAGAATATCATCAACGAAAAGCATACACTAGGGTACAACCTCTTGCAAATGTCTAGTGAGAACATCCATGACTAAGGCAAAAAGATATGGGTTTAAAGCTAATCCTTAATGTAATCCAACATAAATAGTAAAATACTTGTCAAACCATCTTATGTTTGAACAAGTAATAGCTCATGCATGCATATCCTTAATTACTTGAATATAAGCATTATTAACCCATTTCTTATATAGAACTCTCAATACCACTTCTCTTGGAAGTTTATCATATGCTAGCTTTCTTTAAATCAATAAAAATCATATGTAGATCCTCCTTATTCTCTCTAAACTTTTCCATTGAATCTCTCAATAAATGTATAGCTTTCATAGTAGACTACCTGGAATGAATCCAAATTTATTTTTATGAAGATGAATTAAAAAAAAATTATAAATTTACTTTAAAATTAATGTTAAATATTCCTATCCCTTATTAATCATGAGCAATAGTCGAGGGACTAAATTGAAGCAACTTCATATTCTAAGACTATGATTTCATTTGTTACAGCTTTCTTACTGCTTCTTAAAACAACTTTTTAATATAAATTCCATCAGTAGCTACATTCGCAATCATTCAACCTCTCATGAATCTTCTTCCTTTACTTTCATTCTCTTCCTATTCTAATAAATAACTTTAGTTACAATAGATTTTTTGTCACAATCATTTGAGCCTCAATCAAACCTTAAGCCATCTCAGTCAACTCCAATTTTTATTGTTTGAGATTATTTGTACGAATCAACACTACACTAGGGGGGGGGGATAAGTAACTATTGGTGTTGCCTTGAATTTGACTGACTCTTTGCCATAAAAAAATAGGTCAATAGCGAAAAAAAAAGAAAAAAAAAAAGTTCCAATTTTTATTGTTTGAGATTATTTGTACGAATCAACACTACACTAGGGGGGGGGGATAAGTAACTATTGGTGTTGCCTCGAATTTGACTGACTCTTTGCCATAAAAAAATAGGTCAATAGTAGGTCAATAGCGAAAAAAAAAGTCGTTAAAGATATCATTTACCTGCAAAAAGTAACAAAGGTCTCTAAATAAAAAGTAAACTTGATATTTTTTCATACCCTTGATTGTCGTGCGCTTCACAGTTATGTGGCGGTCCAAGAGGGCAACGCCCCCTGGTGGGGTTTGGTTGTAATGATATTTTTGGAATTTAAATTAATAAATAAAAGATAAGTACTCTTTACTATTTCTCTTTGTATTTGATTCGTTGTTCCCTAACAAAATGCCTAATAATCATAGTATTTTAAAATTTTAAGGGAGAATAATTGCCCAAAAATTCTTATAATAAAGATTAAAAAATAGACATAGGAGGACAATTTATCTAAAAAATCATGAAAAATTATTATTTTTTTTTTTAATTTTTTTAGGAGGGGCAACTGTGCCCTCCCTTGAGTACAAGGGGGATCCGCCCCTGGCCACAACCAGCCGTCATACATCGCCTTCACCGCTGTCCACCACCACCCTCCGCTCACCGCCGCCACCGACTGAGGCCAACAATTGTAAATTCAATGAAATTAAAAAATAATGTAATTCAATCTAATTATCATGTTGTAAATATTTGAAAGAATGGAAACCCAAATATCGTTTGTACCTTTAATCTTATTTTCCCTCGAATTTCAATTTCATTAAAAAAATGAGCAACTTTTAATTAATTGACATTTAAAAATTACAAGCAACATCATTTTCTAATCTTTTCCTCTAAAGTTTATTTGTTATTCATTATTTCATGTTAGAATATTTTATAAATATGTCACATACAAGCGCCTCAAAAAGATTTGAGTGAATAAGGAAGTTTTTAGTTTCACAACTAACCCCACGTCCACCACATCAAACCGTAGGTCAAATGAAGTTCTTCCACGTCAGGAACTAAGCCGGTGCACTGAGCAGTATTTATCTCTCCATGGCAGTTTAGGTTTTCTTCAAGCATGGCGGTACAGTACAAGTTCCGCAGCTCCGTGGCCTTCGATTCCGTCGACCTCAGCGGCCGCTCGTCGATCTCTGTCCGCGACCTCCGAGCCAGAATATCTGACATCAAGAAACTCAAAATCTGTGCTGACTTCGATCTCGTTCTGTCCGACGCCGATACTGGCAAAGGTTGGTTCGGTCACACGCTCCTTCTATCAATTCCTTCTCCTTACTCTTTCTTCTGAGTATGATCGTTTTTGACCCTCACAATTCAATCTAGTATTTGAGAATGAGGACTTCCAGATTCCGGTGGGTGCTAGCGTAGTCATCAAGCGAGTGCCAACGGGAAGAGAGGCGACTAATGATCGGTGAGTTTATTTTTGTTCGTCATTGCTTCATTGTGCTTTTTTTCTACTGTTATACTTTGGGGCATTATAGATGTTCTTTGTTGCACAGGGATGCGATTGCTGGCACTGCAGGAAAATCGGGAGGATGTGTTGGTACGCTGCAATTATCGACTTCTGAGGTAATGTTTTTCACATGGGTTTTATGGGAAGCAAATTAAGGTCCTTAGGTCATCTCCAACGGTAAAACTTCCGCTATTTAGTTGCTGGTGGCATTGCACTGTTCATCTTAGCTATTTTTCTGTCTCTACCAAACTTGCCAAAGAAACGCGCGAAAGAAGAGAACGACCGTTACCTTGGCAAAAGGGGGCAAAATGGATTTCGATTGGAGATGAATCACGACATTTTTTAGTTTCATGGCATTTTGGAGTGAAAAATGAGATTTTCGGTTGGAGATGCCCTTATATGCTCACCATTGCTTTTAATTTTAAATGGAGAAGATCCCATTTCATTGTTATGTATGCATCACCAGATTGGCTGATGGATTCTTTCTTGCCTCGTTGAACATTCTCATCATTGTCTACATTGTCTACATTTAATGATCTTATTGGATGGCATGAAAATACATTGTCTACATACTGTATTCTTGAGTATACATAGTACTAGAAGGTGGGGATGCTCTATAGTTGGATTGAAACTTAGTCAAGTCAAATTATTGAGGAAGGCTTCATCGTTTTCACTCTACTCTATATTGGTCATATCTTTAAGTAATCATATACGATCAATCATGCAAATAAAAACCATAAATACAAACGCGTCATTCAAAAATCAACCATTTAAACCCTTACATAATAGAATGAAAAAACATGTATGTTTGATGGCATGGCAAAGTAAGTGAGGACAAAATAGGCCAGTCAAACACATCCATTTGTTTATCTAAAATACATTTGAAATTTACCATTTTCCTTACAATGCCTTTCCTCTCCCACTTCAAAATCCTATAAATAGTATAACTTCGATCATCCCATATGAACCTTAAATCATGTTTATTAAAAGAACAAATAATGTAGTTTAATATTAATCCTAATTCTTAATTATCATTAGCATTAAGACATACATGAATGTTATTATAATGTTTATCAATTGTCATTTATCATTAACATAAATCCTTCATTAACATGTCATTATGATGTTCATTAATTGTCATTATTTATCATTAACATAAATCCTTAATTCACTTTTACATTTTTGTTAATTATAATCGTCGTTATAAGATAATTATTTGCGGATTTAATTATATCTTAAATTTTAAAAATTCATATTATTGTTTAAATTCATAATTTACCTATTTTATCCGTTTACCAATTCCTAAATCAATTTCAAATAGCTTAAATTTTCGGTTTTATCCAAAAACCCTAATTTTGGAAACATGAATTTCACTAATTTCAATACATTTGCATTCCAAAACTTCCGCATTATCTATTTAATAATTAGGGCTTTTCTATTTTCGGATTATTTTAAATTAAAAATTAGGAAAATGACATTTTATGAAAAAAAACTAATTTCTACCCTTACAAACCTTTCTAAAACTATTAGGAATAATATACTTTAAGAAAATTTCATAGAATTTGAAAGTCTAAAAAACCCTAATTTTTAGAGATAGAAAAGTACCACTCAAACTTAATGAAAAAATTCTATAAGATGGTTGTTAGACTTGCAATGCTTTATGACGCAGAATGTTGGCCATTAAAAGGGAAGCATAATATTAAGTTAAGTGTTGCAAAGATGATGATGTTTAGGTGGATGAGTGGCTTTACTCTTAGAGACAGGGTATGAAATAAGCATATATGTGAAAATGTCGGAGTAGCTCCAGTGGAAGATAAGATTAGACAGAGTCACCTTAAATAGTTTGGTCACATAAAACAGAGGCCTTCTCATGACCTGGTTAAGAGAGTAGATGTATTTGATTTAACCTATGTTAAGAAAGGTAGAGGTAGACCTAAAAAGACTTGATTAGAAAATATTAGGATTGACGTTTTTTTAGTAGATCTAAATGAAAATTTGACTCTTAATCGAACACAATGGAGAATAAAGATTTATGTAGTCGACCCCACGTAGTGAGATAAAGGCTTGATGTTGTTGTTGTTGTATGAGATTTTTGGGAAGAGCCAACACCGCATGCAACTTATGCATTGACATTTGATTTGGAAGTTGGACACCTAACCTAGGTTTTAATTGTAGGCAAAGGTGTTGGAAGGTAACATGATGCGATTTCATGCATTTTGGAGGGGTGTAGGATTCCAATCGAAACATCCCGCGCACATTGCCATCTTCTTTTAACGCTCACATGAGAGCAACTTGGCGAAAATCATCGAATTTCCCCATGTGTACTAAGAGGACAACAAATTCTTGTATTTTGGGGAGCACATATGAAGTTACTACAAGGCCCTATGGCTTTGGGAGCTTCATACACACATCAAAGGGTCTTTAACGGGTTTACTTCGCTGGGTTATCACGGCAGAGCCACTATCCACTCGCCTTGTCAAAAGTCGAGAAAATGAAGGATTGTAGGTTAACTACTGTCTAAACTCTTTTGTAAGCCATGCTTGTTGTCCAAAGTGCTCCAATGCTACTGTCCTTAGCGTTTGAAGGCTTCCGGGTGCTGCCTCGTGGTCACGAACTCGTCGGAGACAATGGGGAGGAAAGAAGGAACTCCTACATCAAGTGGAAAGCCTCCACCATCATCCTGCCCTCTCTTTTGCTTGAGAGAAAGAAAAGAGCAGGTTTATGCACTTCCACTTGGAGAAATGAGGAAGACGAGGAGGTATTTCCCTCTCTTAGCCCAAGAAAGAAGGAAACGATTGCCAGAAATTAGTGGCTTGGACGATTCATAACATCTGGATCGGTGTCAACACCAGAACACATGCACGAGATTGAAAATCGGTCTCTTTGCTCGGGTTGGATGGACGAAGCTCCCTACTCGCGAATCCCTAGCATGCACGGGTCTCCTATACGCAAGCAGAGGGTCGACCGACCCTCTTCTTTCCTTCGACTAGGCACGCGCAAGCAAGACAGAGTCACTCAACTCTCTCTTCCTCCCTCCCGTATCTTTCGCCTGGTTTGGGATGGACGGACAGAATTGAACACAAAGAGCCGAATGGCTTTCCCTCTTGTTCTCCTAGAGACGCACAAGCTAGAGCTGAATGACTCTTTTTCTTTCTTCTCTTTGTTCGATTAGGTCACCCAAGCAAAAGACACGCTCATGTCGCTTATCCCCTTCTTTCTATGCAACGAACAAGGTCCGCTACGCAATCTCTGCCAAAGCCGCGCAAATACTCTACAAATCGAGGCGATTAGGTGATTTGACCTCACGACAATGGCAATGCTCAAGGTTTTCGAGATAATTTCAGTCGTTTGATTCAATTACTTGATTTGGGAAGTCAATTGAACTTGAATTTGATAAATTGGGCAGAAATTGAGCCCAAATTAGACTTGATCCGAATCGATTTGGGCTGATTCGAGTCCGATTGGGTCTAATCGAGTCAATTTTGTGAAATTAGACTCGAATTGACGCCGAATTGCTTCAAACTAGGTTCGACAAGGCTTGACGTGGCTTGTTTGGGTTCGATTTAGACTAGGGGTGTAGTGAGCTGAGCCGGCTCGCGAGCTGGCTCGAGCTCGGCTTGTTAATGAGCTCACAAGCCGAGCTTATCGAGCCACGAGCTCGAGCTCGAGCTCAAACTTGAGCTTGAAGAGGCTTGGGCTCGTGAGCTCACGAGCCGATGAGAAAGTATTATATTTAGGGTATTTGAAAAAAAAAATAATTTCACTCCTGAATATTGAATTCCCGCCTACGCATTTTAAATTCCCGCCCACACATTTTTCATTAATGTATAAAAGATGATAGCCGGCTTGTAATATGTGTTCCAAACAGTTGCTTTTCATGTTAATTCATATAGTTTATTTTCATTTCCTCGTTTGAAGTGAAGGCAACTTTTCACTAATGCAAATTATCCTAATTTTGAAATGTGGGATCCAAATGGGGAAAATGAGAACTTTCCATTCGGACGGATGCGACATTCACAGGAGGGAAAAATAAAAAATTGGACTTATGAGAAATCGAGCAGCTTGCGAGCCGACTCGAACTCGTTTATAGTGTGATGAGCTCGATTTCGAGCTTGAGTTCAAGCTCGCTTTTCAACTGACGAGCTGAGCTCGATAGTGTTAAAACTCGACTCGTTTACACCCCCTTAATTTGGATCGATTTAGGGTTGACACGATTGATTTGATTTTAATTTTGTAAAATTGGGCTTAATTTAATTAAATTAGGGCTCGAGTTGGGTCAATATTAGTTCGAAGGTGCTCGATCGAGCGTGATCGAGCCTAGTCGGGCTCGAATAAGCTTTGTTGGGGCTGAGTCGATGAAAAAAAAAAAACACGTCAACACTAGGTAAATGGATTCTCTTCTGAAGAGACTATGGAATAACCCCACTGATGCAGATTACGTAGGAGCACTAGTAGATAGATGATCTACCTCATGATACTGCACAAGTGCACATTCATTGAAGGAAATCTTATTATATATAGAAGCATGAAACATAATGTGGTGGCAAGGTCTAATATAAAAGTAAAACACAGAGCTATGACATTGGGAATATGCGAGCTACTATGGATCAAGATGATTCTAGAAGACCTAAGGTCAAGCGGGAAGGATCCGTGAAGCTACACTATGACAAGAAATCAGCATTCAACATAGCTCACAATCCGATTCAGCCTGATAGGACCAAGCATATAGAAGTGGACATGCATTTCATTAAGGAGAATTTAGATAGTGGTCTTCTATGTATCTATCATGTCTCATCAAAAGATCAGCTTTAGATATTCTTACCTAGGGACTTGATAACTCTGCCTTTTTGGAATTGATTATTAAGTTGAGAATGATAGATCTGTATTCTCCAACTTGAGAGGAGTATTAAATACCAACCATCCCTTGGCATTTTGATCCCACGGCTAGGATGGGGATCCATGGGAGACTCACTTGGATTGCGTCGATCTCTACCGTCCCTTGGCATTTTGATCCCATCTAGGATGGGGCTCCGTGGGAGGCTCACTTGGATAACACTGATCTCCTTCATATTTAGGCAGCTGATTTAGGAAGGATTATATTAAACAATTATGTATGATTATGTAATTATTTGTTTCTTTATTAAGATATCTTGAATAGAGACATGTTTGAGCAATAAAATTAAGATCTTTCTCTCTCGAAATCTCTGAATTTAACAGTAACATTAAAACCCAAAATGTCAATTTACTCATCTTGATGCTCACATCCTAGGTTTCCAATGAATATAAACTTTGAAATTTGCTTTAATAGTTTTTACTAACCAGTGTGAGATGGCTTGGGTCGAATTTCTACTTTTTTCCATCAAATGAGCATGATTATTATTCACTAGCAAAAGCACAAAGTATCCGTTGACCCTTCATGGAGAATAAATTTATGTGGCAGGTATTCAACATATTGTTAGTAAATCATCTAATAATTAGGTTATTGTAGTTTCTGTTTGCTTTCCTTCATGTTTTCCTGGCAACTGTCACAGTTTGTGTATACTTACCACTGATTACCATTTGCAGAACTTTGGTGTTGACAACTTTGATGACTTTGGTTTTGATTTATATCCCAATTTGGATACAACAATTCATTGTTATGCTGATGATATGGACCACTTCAATTCCTCTGCTAATAAAAAGAAGGATGTTTCCGTCAGGTGCAAGTTGCAATTATTCTCTGAAATTATTAATGTGATTCTCCTTATTATCGAGTCTATCATGTTTAGAGTGTTGGTATTATTTCGAATATTGCTTTTATTCCTATGATGTTATAGCTTGATCCATATCCTTATACATAATGCGGCAATAGTTTTTTTAGTGTCCTAACACATTTTATACTAGAGATTTTTCATTTAACATGCACTTCCTGCTTTTTCTCTGGTTTGCATTTCCATAGGCATGAGTACAACCATTGATATAGTGTTAGCCAGACTGTAATCTCTTTGTACATGCATATATATTCTTTGAGCTACTTATGATAGAATCTATGTGAATGTGACTGCTAAAATACAAGGTCATTGTTATATAGGTTCTTTGATGTAAGTTTGTCTCCTCTCTATTGACTTGATCGCATGAGTAATGCGAATCAAATTATTACCTTGTTGGCTGACTTGCATTATTGTAGATGAATTCTTTAGTTATGAGTTAAATATTCACTTTTTTCCTGTGTTCTATCTTAAACTATATATAAATATTATTATTGGTTGTGTAGGGATTTTTGATTGAATGCCTGTTTACTTATTCTTTGGCACAAATTATTTTGCAATCTTCTACCATACACAAGATTTTCATTTGGGTGTGCGCTCTCAAGTAACTTCCTCCTTTGTGCAATATGCTGGATTGATGGTGGCAAAAATGCCGGTGTTGTGGTGGTTTGAAGAATTGAAGGTGGTAGTGATTTGAGCTGGCTGAAATGATTCAAAGTTGCCGTGGTGTGCAAAGAAACCTGCAATGCATGAAGTGAAGCTTAATCTAGGGCTGCACGCTAGTTTTAATCATGTTTTGATGGATTTGGTTCTTGCATAACTATATGAAATCAATATTTGGTTTTGTTCTTTCTTTCTCTGCAAGTCTTCAAACTATATTCTTGAAAATTTGCAGTTTAATCGATTCTTCTGAGATCTGTATTTCCAATATGCAAAAAAATTGTTCGTTTTGTTTTTAGGTCTTTTGAAGTACCCAACCTTAAGGGTCAAAAGATTGACAGAAGCGATGTTAGTGAGGACTTGTCCAACAGTGGGTATTGGTTATGCAATTTAGGAATTTGTGTCGAACTCAAAAAACTTTCATGATTTGATACTGACTACTCTTGCATGTGAAATCAGAAGTTGGCGAAAATTTCAGGGAAGAGTCTGATGAAGGAGAGAACCAGAAGGAAATGAACTCAAAGAACAACGTTGAGCTTAAGAAGAAACTTTCTGAGTAAGATATTTTTCCATCTCTTATTCATCTTTTTTTATGCAGTTGCACCTGCATTTACTCTTTTTCCATATGGAGGCAGGGATATGCACTTTCAGGTGACATTTAATACAGATTTGCCAGCGGAGCTTAGGTGCTCACTTTGCAATTCTATATTTAAAGAGGCCGTAATGATACCCTGCTGCCAACATAGTTTTTGTAACAGATGTAAGTTATTTAAGGCCTGGTGAAATTTATCTCTTTGTTCTTTTACTATAAGATTGGGCCGTTCTCTTTTCAAATTAATTTGTGCTTTAAACTGAACTTTTAGATCTTAAGCCGATTTCCATCTTGATTTTCTTTTCTTGTATTTAAAAGCTAGTTTTGTTTCTTTTACCATGTAGACATATTTTCATTTATCGTTGCATCCTTCATTTGCTTTAATTTTCTTATCAATTTAATTGCTCAGTTAAGAGCCATAATTGTAATGAGATGAGAGATACTGTGATAAACTTTAGCATACTAAATTTCGTGAAGAAACTACTTTGTTCCGTTCAAATAAAATTACTAAGAAAACTTAACAAAAAATACCTACTTCAAGAATGGCACTTCCCAAAGGATTTCTGCAACTGGAATTGGATTTTTGCTGCAAGAATTGACTGTTGGATCCTAGCTAGTTCCGTTTGTGAAGCTGCTTGTCCTTCTTCTCCTGCTAAGCTACTGTTCTGTCCTTGTCACAACCAACGAAGAGCTCTGAAAGGATGGCCAGTGGCTGTATCACGTTGACCGTCCATCCACATAATCATGACTAGTTTGATCAATTTGTGCTTAGTAGCAGCCAAGTTTATTAATTTTGTGGAAGTGTTTTTTTTTCCGTCCGAAGTCAATTTGATGATGGACGTTCAAGTATTGATGGAAAGATTAGTTAAGTATTCCATTGCTTTATTTGACGTTTGTATTGTGGGAATACTTGAATTTATTTTTATTAGGTTACTTCTCACCTTATTATTTTTATTAGGATTTATTTTATGCCAAATATTTCATTTCTTTATTTGGAGATCCGTTTTGCTATTAGTATTGGTTGAGATATTGGTTGAATAAAATATTGGCGGCTATTAAATTCTCATGTCTTTCTCTCTCTGTCTCTTTCTCTCTCCTTATTCCTCTTCTCCGTGATTGGGTTAGTTTGGACCTCTTTCTAATTATACAAGGTCATATGATGAGTTGGTGTGTGTTAGATGGGTTTCTTGAATTTTGTTTGAGTCCAGACATGAGAATTATTAATTAAACTGAATATTTGTGAAAGCCAACAATTTTTCTATGCTTTGTGTGATTTTCTCAAAATACCTGAAACACTCTTTAATGAGAAAATGATCAAAATGGTCACTTAACTGTTTATGAAAAATCAAAACAGTCCCAAATTATATAAAATAACTCTTTGGTCCCTTAACTCTTTAAAGAGGAACCTTAAAAACTCGAGGGATCAAAAATGGTCCTTTAATATAATTGGGGATCATTTTGATCATTCATAAACAATCAAGAGATCATTTTGATCATTTTTTCTATTTTTAATATACATCAAAAGATTGTGAGTGGTAGTGCTGTAGCTAAATTATGATTTATTTATTTAATTGTTGAATCACGGTCATCATGGTCCAAGTATTTTGTAGCAAATTGAATATTATGTTGAAATCCAGTTCTACTAAGCAATTCCACCAGAAGGTCCTTCAATTTTCCAAACTCAGTATAGCGATGTCTTTTTAAACAAACTCAATTTTACCCATTATCTTATTAAAGTAGGCTTACATTGGGGTGGCTTGTAAAAATTTTTTGAGTGTTATTTATATGACAGGATGTCTTTAAGTCTTCTAGCAACATTGATGATTTTTTCATGTATCCTATGCCACTGTGAAGAGCAATATTATGTTGCTGTGAAAATGAGAATTCAACAGGCTATGCCTTCAAGTTATATTTATATCTTAGAATACGATTCAACTGTTTTTTCTCCGTCAATGCATATAATTGGATGCATTTTTTCATGGTTTCTTATGCCATAATATTGTTGAAGGTATTGCATCAACATTAGTTAAGCAATCAAGTTGCCCCAAATGTTCTTCCACAAAATGCACCGTCAAGGACCTATTGCCAAACTTGTCACTTCGCCAAGCAATCGAACATTTTCTTGAAGCACAGAACGCCAGTATTGTTTCATATAACAATCTTCCAATGTATGCTCCAGGTGAGGTATTTTAAATTTTTTTCTTTCATAAACGAGGTTTCTATGTGAATGCATCTTTAAACCAAACAAAATTCAGATGGAGAATCCGGAATTCAAACTAAAGAGGTATCATGTGCTGTATCTGTACGACCACAACTACCAACTTGCCAACCTTCCCCTTCTGCAACAGGGATGGGGTCCAATCATGTTGTTTCAGAACCTGCATCTGAATGTAGGCACACTGTTGGTTTTTTGTTTTCAAACTGCTCCTTTAAAAACACATGTTTATGTCTTTTTAGAAGTAATCATCATGATCACCATCATTTGCTTTACCCATAATAAATTTTTTTTGTTCAAGAGGTATCATTTAAATTATTTCTCCCAAGTCATTCAAAATTTTTCTTTTTTAATACATATTTAAGCCCACTTGAGGAGCATAAACACTTATAATATTAGTAATATTAGCATTAATAATAATAACTTACTTTTTTAACACTGCACTTGTGCACTCGTGCAACAACTCTTGCACACTTTTTGCTATATTCTATTCATACAACCTGTTACTTCCAGGAAACACCCTAGTATTAATACAATGTATTAACCCATTTAGTTTTCTAAATACATAGAAGATTTGTCTTCTTATGAATCATAATGATGAGCACATCAACAGAAGATTTCGACACGTCTACCATCGGAGGAATCGTAGATCGACAGCTACGATTCAGAGTCTCTATTTATATTTCATTTTTTACCATTGTACCCTTGTGAGGGATCTCTTTTATGTTGTAGCCCTGATGACATTTAAGTATTTTATTTTCTTGATTTTGGTGGCCTATGTATTAAGGCCTTAGTCATTGTATTTGGGTTAATGATGATTTGAATGACATTTTCCAGCATTTGTCTTCTTCTTTCTTCTGAGTTCTTGAGAGAAAAAAGAACCCTAGGAGAGGGCCAAGGATCACTCGTCAGCCGCCAGTAGAGGTCGGGCTCGCGGTTCGTATTCGTGTTATTTTCTTTTTCCCTTCCCCTTTCCCCACCGCCGGCCAACCCTTCCTCTTCCAACCCATCAACTTCCCCATCCCCCACCCCAAACTGCTGGTTAAACCTCCCGTCCACCTCCCCCATAGCCGGCCTCTCTTCTCCCCAACCCACGGCTCAAGCCCCAACACCGAGCCCCTCCTCCATCGACCCAAGACCCACCTCCTCTCTCACTAGCCGCTGGCTTGTCCAGCCACATCCCTAGTCTCCGAACTCCATAGTGCCTTTCTTTGCTTCCACATTTCAAATTTCAAATTACTTCATTTCCATATGTATTGCATCTCAATTTAGGAAGATTTCAATTTCAAATTTCAATCCTAATTGAGTTGAAATTATTTCCTAAATTAGCCAGCAATATTTGGAAAGTTTCCAAATTTAAATTATTTCAAATTTGAATTTAAATTGAAGAGACCCTCAAGATGTAATCTCTTTAATTTAATTACCCTTTTTTGGAAACCACTTAAATTTCTCCCCAATTCCCTCCCTCATTCCCCTAGCCACCGCTCCACTTGCCTTTCTCTCTCTCTCCAATTAATTCCTTTCACCCATTAATGCATGGGTCTACATACAATGTATGTGGACACTTTTTCCCCTCCTTATTAGGCCGGCCCTCTCTCTCTCTCTCCTTCATTAATTCTTTCCATTAAGGCCTCCAATCAAAGCCCTTTCCTCAAGGAAAGCCACCCCACATAGTCCTCCATTATTGGACATTCAAATTTGAAATTTCCTCCCTTTCTTCCTACTAAAATTATGAATTTAAACTTCAGATTTTAGTTTAAGTCCTCTCCATACCACTAAATAAAACCGGAGTTCAACATTGGCCATTTCACTAGTCTTGGCCGAACCAACCATCCTCCCTTTTCCATTATTTCCCTATTCCCTTGCTACGAAAAATTATTCCATCAGGTGAAAATACCGAGCAATACCGAGCGGGCTGTACCGAGCATGGTACCGAGCACTTTAGTGACGTGGCGTTTTGGTATTGGTTTCCGGATGCATTCGGTAACCTGACGGAATAATCACTCCCTTGCTACGCATACAATCAAGGAAGAAGATACGCTACTTCTTGGTTTACCTCCCTTTATGGATGGCCGATCTCGAGTTTGACCACATATTCATTTGCGATCATCAAGGATTAGTGGATATTCTACAATCTCCTTTCTTCGACCTCATTCTGGAAGTTGACAAAACCGTCGATGAATATGTCAACCACATCCCCTTCACCCTGATGTCTGCTATTGAAGAACATCAACCTCCGGACATTGGCGAATCATCGGACATCCACCTGCATCTTACCCTATGGCTAACTTTTTGTGAATCAATACTGTAGGCATCCTCTTTCTTTCGGTGTCATCTCTAGGATTGCTGAAGTTGTTCTTCTGCTAACCCCACTATCGAGAGTGAAAGAGAGGGAAACTCGAAGGTGAATTTTCTATTTGTTAAACGATGGATTTTGTTATTCTGCTTCTAGTGTTATTACAAATTTTTACTGTTATTTTAAATTATTTTGTTAATCTTTTGTGTAACCAACTACTAAAGCATAACTGCAACTAGAAATCCTAGATCCTTATCTTGGTGAAACAATGAGTTTGCAATTATCAAAGCTTCACAATTTGTTATTAATTCCTAAGCAATTTCTATTTCCATATATGTTTCACATCACATAATATCTATTAATTTCATTAATGTACCTATTAATTATATATATTCAAGTTCCAATCTTAATTCTAGTTTCATGAATTAGTTTTTTTGTCCACGTCTGTCCATAATATGGGAACCCCTTGCTTCTTTAATAATTAACATTGTACCTGGGTGTTGGTGTAGTGACCCTTACACATTTTTTGCTGATTTAGGCCATACAATGTGTCACTTTCAAAAATTTTATCAATGTTAAAATAATGTATTAAAGGGTTCATGTTATAATTGTTTGATAAGTTTTACACTAGTTGTAGACTATATAACACGACTCTTCGCTTTTCTCGTCTAGAATTTGGGACTCCACAATGACAATATTATATATATATATATATATATATAGTTGACTAATGAATTTTAAATTTTACACCATTGCTAAGTTTAGTGGGTCGGTTTTGTTTTCTTAAAGCCAAATTTAGTTCAAAAATTGATTTGGTGTTTTTCAAATGTTAAAAAGCCTCATTTTTCAAAACTAAAACTAACCGGTTGAATTGCATCAATTTATTTTTTCAATTATGTCAAATTAAATGCATACCCTAGTCCATACAAATACATGCATGTGTTTGTGCCTGCTGGCACTTGTGAGTGCAGGCACACATAGTCATATGTATGTGCGTGTGTGTGTATATATATATATATATATATATATGCGCGCGCATGCACGCATATAAGGTTTTGCATAGACCCGCATATATTTTGAAGGCCACATGGATGTTTATATATATACATATACAGTGAGCTGATTTTGAGTTGAATCAAATTATTTTGTTTGTTCAATCTTGAGTTATGGCAAAATTATTGTGTTGAAAGTTGATGAACTTGGAGCAATTATCAAGCTAGTTTTAATCTTCTGCTACAATTACTAGGCCTCAATCACATTAGCAGTTAAATTGATTTTTTATGTTTTCTTTTGTTTTGATTCTATCTTGATAGGTTATTTTGTTGCTCATGTTTCAATCTTGGTTTGAAGAGCTTATTAATTTTGCTTCATGCTCATAAATTTAAAGATGCATCTATTAAATAAGCTGATAAAATTGGTGTCAAATGATTGCGAGCTCAAATAGTAGCTTGGATACTCTGTATTGAGAGAGCGGAGAATGTGAATTCATTAAGTTTACACCAAATAGTTTGGATAAGGTTTGACGTTGATATTATACTTTCATTACACAAGGATTCATATTATAATTACAGAATGGGGATGTGGGGTATGATCTTGGCACCTTGCTTTCTAAGAAAGCACTCAACATCTGAGTTTGACAATAAACTTTCACAACTTTTCCCCTTTGAACATGTGCTGGTCTTGTTTTTTTCTTATATTTTCTGCACACACAAAATGTACACTGAATTTTGTATTTGTTAATTTTGTAAATTTCCAGGTAATTTTCCTTTCAAAAGGAATGAGGAACTGTGTACTGAAACACGAGGTACATTTTGTTATGGTTGATTTGTTGATGGAATTTCTCATCTTTCAGCCTGTATATATTTTTTATGGCTTGATTCTTAAGTTGATTTAAATGATACCATTAATTTGCAGGTGGGAGAGTTGCAATTCCGTCAATCAAGCATAGAAAGGTGAATCATCCTTCTGCTTATATCAAAACATACAATTCAAAACAGTGTTTTTGTTGAAAGTACTTGCATATTTAAATTTGATCAAGATGTTTGTCTTCTATTATGTATTAAAGACAGGATGCAAAGTTACTTTATAACATTATTTCATGTTTCTTTGTTTGGTATAATCTTAGGTGTTTATGAATTACTTAATCCTTTGTGCTTGGGTGGTTAGTAATTTACTTAATTTTGCCATCTCCTCCTTCCCTTCTCCATTTCCCTTACCTTTTTCTCATTATCGAGCATAGAGTAAATAGGGGCTTAATGGCTTACGGTTAGTGTTTTTGCTAATGGTATTGGATGGTTAGATATTGTGGGGTAATTATGGTGCACAATAATGCATGCACTGCCTGACAGCTTATATTAACATGACTATATAATTATGAGCTCAACACCCTTTAATAGTTGTGGTGGACTAGCTCAAAGAGAGATGGGTGTGGTCTGCCAATAAGTTATGATTTAGGTCATAGGAAAAAGTACTAATACTGTTGATAGCAAACAATCCACTTGAGAGTCATTAATGCTAGTAATTTCTATTGTCGATGGACATCACCCTTACGCGGTTGCACGTAAAGAGTAAATATCTCAAGCAAATGTATAACAAACTCGTCAACCACCAACCCTAACCATTAAAACCATCCCCATGCGCATGCTCATTCTTTTCTAACTTAATTTTATGCAAATAATATACATCAATTTCTCCTTTGGATTATCAGCAACTCTCCAGCTTTGAATAAATGCATGAGGAGCAAGTAGGGGTGTAAATGAGTCGAGTCGAGTTGAGTTTTAACACTAACGAGCTCAGCTAGTTAGTCGGAAAGCGGAGAGTTCGAGTTCATCTCAAAAAGCGAGCTCAAACTCGATCTCGTCCCCTTAAAATCGAGTTCGAGTCAGCTCGCGAGCCGCTCGATTCAATTTTGCATTTTTCCACATGTGCCCCTTTTTTTGATTTATCCTGCCTGTGCAAACCAATAGAACAAAGGTGAGCTCTGCAGCTGGTCCACAAGCAAGGGTTTCCGGTCCATTACCGTCCGGCTCCGGACCGAAACTCACGGAGTCATCCCAACTCTCGGATCGGAGATGCTAACGGGACGGGAATCAAAGTGGGGGACCTCTCTACCGCACCTGTCTCCCCAGAAATAGACTACGTACAGGGTAGTACTCTTGATAGAAGATCACTGCATGAACAACATCTAAAGTAATGAATGTCAATCCCGAGGGATCGACCACTATACTCTTAGAAAGACATTTTGGAAGAGAACTCTTGTTCATGTTCACGCCGGAGTGCTGAGGTTGTTCCCACCATTGAAGTAAGAGTCTGGGTGTGGGCCCGCTTACTAATAGGGTTCCGAATGAGAAAGACAAAAAAGTGCTTCTTGGTAGAACCAACGCCAATATCATATTGACTCTCTCTCGTCCAATAAGAAAGAGTTTCCGAGAGTGACTTTCCTTTTTCTTAAAATTCTCTCCTTTCCAAAGCTCCACAAGGCAGGTTGCGTAGCAAAGAAAGAGTAATAGGACAACTTTTTTCTTTCATTTGTTGAGATTGAAATCGACGTTCTTTCGAGAATCAACCAACCGACAAATCTGTAGCCCAGGTGATTCACTGCCTCCCTCTCCCGGATGAATCTTCTCATGCAGCTTTTTTCTTATGAAGGGTGCAGCGAAGCCAATTTCCATCCATAAAGTAAAGGCAAGGTGCGGAGCAAAGAAAGAAGGGGGAAGAAGAGTTGTCACGATAGAAAATAGAAATGACTATAAGGAACCAACGATTCTCTCTTCTTAAACAACCTATATCCTCCACACTTAACCAGCATTTGATAGATTATCCAACCCCGAGCAATCTGAGTTATTGGTGGGGGTTCGGTCCGTTAGCTGGTCTTTGTTTAGCCATTCAGATAGTGACTGGCGTTTTTTTAGCTATGCATCACACACCTCATGTGGATCTAGCTTTCAACAGCGTAGAACACGTTATGAGAGATGTTGAAGGGGGCTGGTTGCTCCGTTATATGCATGCTAATGGGGCAAGTATGTTTCTCATTGTGGTTCACCTTCATCTTTTTCGTGGTCTATATTATGCGAGTTATAGCAGTCCTAGGGAATTTGTTCGGTGTCTTGGAGTTGTAATATTTCTATTAATGATTGTGACAACTTTTATAGGATACGTACCCCCTTGGGGTCAGATGAGCTTTTGGGGAGCTACAATAATTACAAGCTAGCTAGCGCGATACATGTAGTAGGAGATACCATAGTGACTTGGCTTTGGGGTGGTTTCTTCGTGGACAATGCCATCTTAAATCATTTTTTAGTCTTCATCATTTACTCCACTTTCTTTTAGTAGGCACCAGCCTTCTTCATCTGGCCACATTACATCAATATGGATCAAATAATCCATTGGGTGTACATTCAGAGATGGATAAAATTGCTTCTTACCCTTATTTTTATGTAAAGGATCTAGTAGGTCGGGTAGCTTCTGCTATCTTTTTTTTTTCCATTTGGATTTTTTATGCTCCTAATGTTTTGGGGTATCTCGACAATTATATACCTGTTAATCCGATGCCCACCCCACCTCATATTATGCCAGAATGGTATTTCTTACCGATCCATGCCATTCTTCGCAGTATACTTGACAAATCGGAAGGTGTAGCCGCAATAGCACAAGTTTCTATATCTCTGTTGGCTTTACCTTTTTTGAAAAGTATGCATGTGCGTAGTTCAAGTTTTCGACCGATTCACCAAGGAATAATTTGGTTGCTTTTGGCGGATCACTTACTACTAGGTTGGATCGGATGTCAACCTGTAGAGGCACCATTTGTTACTATTGGACAAATTTCTTCTTTCTTTTTCTTCTTGTTCTTTACCATAACGTCCATTCTGGGACGGGTTGGAAGAGGAATTCGAAATTCTTACACGGATGAGACTGATCACACCTGATCAGTGAAAAATTCTGACACCAATCATTTTTTCATTGACGAGTGAGTCTTACACCATTCATTTACAAGCGGATGAGTGATCAACCTTGTTGATATAGCTGAGATAGGGAAAAAGACTATACTTATACTATAGGATAGGGTGATAGGGCTAACAATCAGCTCACCACGGAAGCCTACTCTGGAGTTCGAATCTTCCTCTGCCAACTAACTAGGACACGGGTCATCAGGTCGTCCATCCATTTCTATTAACAACCTCATACTAGTACTATGGCCAACACGTGCCTTCGTACATCAGCTGACATCAAAATAACGGCCTCCACGTAGTCCCTCAAGGCAACATAACTCCTATTATGCCTACTAAGCCTCCAAATAGACTCAACTATCAAGTAACCAAAGAACCCTTCACAAAGAAAGAGTGCGTCACTTGCATCTTTTTTCTGCATCGAAAAGATTCTATAATAGACTTATAACTCTACCGAAAAAGCGCCTGGAACGTAAAGGAGGACGTCTAGTCCTAGAGTAGTTGAAAAGAGTTGCCCTAGAAACCGCTTAAGAATGGAAAGAAGAGAAGGCACGAACCCTTTCACCTAAAACCTAAACCTCAGAATGTAGCTCCTGCTAACGCCCTAAGTTCATTCTGCTTCCTATTCATAGAACAAAATCGGATTCTTTCATCTGACCAGACTCTATCGAATCAGAGGGTATCACACCTTATTTCAAAAACCTGGCTTGCTTAGTGGATGGCTTGGCTTTTTCTTCTTAATGGAATTGGTTATTTCAACTTTCAAGTAGTGAAGACTGCCATCCTTGAACTTGACGAAGGATCTTGTTCAGAAGAAAGCTTTTTTGCATCTACCAGATATAAGAGGAATACCAAGGTACTTTACTGGAAATTCCTTGGTTGAATAGCCTGTTGTGTTGGCAATCAGGGTCCGTAGTCTAGCTGGGGCATGCCAACATGAAACAACTTTTGTGCGCATTGACAAGCTTGTGAGATTGGAAATCGAGCAAAAATTCCCCACCTATGATGCACGACACGGCGACACGGACACGACACGACACGTACACGACTTTTTTTTGAAAATATAAGACACGGGTACAGCGTGGACACGACAATACATTTTTTTATATAGTGTATATATATTAATTTAATATCATATTAAAAATTACAAACAATAATAAATGAATGACATGATAACTTGTCTAGCTTATAATATAAAATATTTAGTACAAAATATCTAGTATAACCAAAAAAATATAAGCAAATAATCACTTACTGCAACATCAAGCATTCAAGCTTCAACTACTAAGATTAGTTTTAGAGGTTTGTTTTTGGCCTTCAATATTTTCATCATTGAATATCACTGCTTTCAACTTTGGTTCAACAAGAGATATTTGTAATTGTGCAAAAAGAGATGAGATGAAAATACCTTCACTGTCAAAGGGAAATGAAAATGAAAATATTCGATGAATGGATATTAAATGTAGACGTTGATTTGGTGTTGTGGATATGAAATAAGAAATTTAGTTTAAATCTCGCCAAATATAAGAAATTATATTTTAAAAAACTTATAAAATATTTAAGATACGCGTGTCCGACACGCGTGTCCAATTTATTTTTAATATTTTTTAATCGGACACGTTTTCGGTGTTTCCGACACGTGTCGGAGGAGTGTCGGACATGGTGTCGGACACTGCACGTCTCTTTGAGGAGAAGTGTCGGTGCATCATAGTCCCCCACTATACTAAGTAAGGACCTCCTCCGCAATAACGAAGAGTGATGGCGCCAATGGGTCTCCCTGTCGCAATCCCCGTGATGACTTGAAGAAACCGTGTACTCCTCCATTGTATGAACATAAAATCAGCAGCTAGTGAACATCGAATTTGCGGCACAGCTACTCTTCTCTACATCAATCCGAGCTGCGCCCTCTATTAGTCCCTCCAAGAAACTCCGATTTGATAGCATAGAATATAGAGCAGCGAAAAAGGCGAAAATAGTAAGAGATCCTTCTGTGGCAGTCAAAATTT